CTCAAATACACCATAGACTTGTAAAGATTGTAAAAAACCATCTCAAACTTGAGCTCCCAAAACTTCAACACCTATGGAGGTGATCTGCATGCTTAAAATTAAACATACATATGAATAACACTTTGCACTTTTTTTCCTCTTAGAGCGAATGTAACTTCTACTAAAATATTTTTCAATGCAAATACGTCGTAAGCGCCAATAAATGATCGAGCGGTGTTTAGTTTTATCATGCGATAGATAATTACCTCAAATGTCTGCGAAGTTGCTATAAACCTAACTACACAATCAAGTTGAAGATTTATTTTTAGGATCAACATGCTAGATAATACTTACGCAAAGGATACGTAAAGTTTACACAAAGTGATAAATCTTCCAATTTGCATTTATTTCATACCAGAAAAGACTATTCCAATAAAATGCTATCTCATAAAGACTATTCAAGTAAATGTGGGAAAATTCATTTAATAAATGCAATTATTCCAGAAATGATCCAAATTGGCCTACTATAGTGTCTGGGTATAGTTACTATAGTCGAGAAACGTAAAGAATCAACTTAGATTGATTCTTTACCATAATGAATATAATCAAATAGATAAACGTTTTCAATGCCTACACTTTTTAGTGCGATTCGGATACCTAAATATATATTCCCGCAATCTAAATGCCTTCCTACAGGATACTAAATTACTACTAATCCCTTATCAAACCACCAGTACACGACGACTACACGCCTCACATCGGCCGCGGGGTAAAGATGAAGCTAAAAAACACAGCTCTATCCATCACCATCGCTACTATGATTACTACTATCGATATCGGATAGTAGTATGAGGCTCATAAACACAGTTCTATCCATCACCATCGCTACTATGATTACCACTATCGATATCCGATAACCATGATCATGATCACTAACAGCATTCCTCTCTACTGTCTATCTGGCAGTTCAACCACCTCTTCACCTACGCCGCCCCATGATGGAGAGACGAAATTACGAGATTACTGGTAGTAGTTTTTGAAGGAGAGAGAGAAGGGTTAACGCCAATGGAATTGTCGGAAGCAAGATGGCGGCAACCACAACTTGGACCTGCACATGCACGTTGAGCGCAAACTTTCATTTCATCAACCCGCTCTGCCCGTGACATCGTCTTACTATTTCCTTGCTGTTTAGGGTCACTGTCTTGCAACGCATCTTCCTGGTCGGGATTATGGTGATTTTCGGGATTTTTGGGACCGCCATCCCACTAATGCACGGAAGCGTGCCTCCTCGCAGACCTGCAAATGATTGTCGGGGGGTACTTCAAATTCCGCAAGACGGAATCTTCAGTCCGTAAACAGCCAGTACTTCCGAGCCTCGTTTCCCCAAGCAGCCTTGCACTGTGAGACAAAAGGAAAGTAATCGTCACCAGCCCATTTTTCAAAGTTCTTTTCCTCCTTTTGGGGGGCGGCACCGCCAGCCATTTTGGTCCAGTAATACTGTTCATCTGAAGAACCGGGAATGTCGCGTTTTCGATTCTCAGGTTTGCCTGGCCAAGGTACTGATGTGGTTCATGAGAGCAGCGTTTAATTTACTCGTCTCATCTTGGAACTGAGATCCCGGGCCCGCAGTGAGTGCTCGTAGAGTCAACAAAGTGATGTGACGGAAGCGAAACGCCGAAACCTGTCATGCATGGGATGACATCGATAGGGTGACCACCTGGACTGTAACTGCCGTTGATACAAAGGAGTGCCCGCGCTGTGATTCCTGACACACAGCCAACAGGCCTTCGCATGAATGACGGATGTCAGATCATCTGAAAGGCCTATTTTTTTAGACTAGGCCTGAGATGATTTTATGGCCCCGCTGCAATTGTCCCACCCCTTTTTTCACTGGCCCGCTACAGACTTGACTGCCGCCTCCCACTGCAACTCCCTCCTCTTTCCAATGAGCATCATCTGTTGATGACCCTTTCTTTTCAATTCCCACCCCCTGGGATGACAACCTTTGCTGCAAATTCCCACTCCATTTGATGGGCCCACTGCGTTCGGTGAGCCTGCTGCAATTCCCACCACGTGTGATGGGCCCACTGTAATTCGCACTCAAGAGAGCCTGCTGCATTTCCCCCACCCTCTTCATAGGCGCGCTTTGCGATCACCGCCCCCCTTTGATTGGCCCGCTGTAATTCCGACTTCTACCTCTTTTTGTTTTCCGTTTTTTTTTTTTTTTGGTTCCCCTTCAAATGCAAGCTGACTTCTCCTCATTTGGGGGACAGCTGCATTTACTACTCTATAGATTGTATTATTTTTCTCTCAATATTTTCTTTTTTTTTATCTCCCGCTACCTACCCTGCACTATGTACTCGGGTTTAGGATACTAGACTGCAGAGTGAAGCCACCAGTCTTAAGTACACTAACAGAAGCCACCAGTCTTAAGTACACTAACAGAACTAAGCTATCCTGTAGTGATGGATCTACGCTTAGCCGTCTCTGGTCCGTGCGGGCAGCAGTGTACCCAAGCTCTCTACCACCTGGCACGGGCAGGAAAATTCCAAATACTTCCCCAACCATCCAGGAGGCCCTCTATGTTAACTCCTCCATGATTTTTCTTTTTCTCTTTCGATTTCCATTTTCGGATTGTACGGCATTTATGTAAACTCTCCATCATGAGAGCGCTGAGCGGAAAACAAAATCACCAAACTGTCCAGATGCGTTGAATGGTTGCTTGCTAACTCGTCTGGTTTCAGTTGTGATGATATATCATATATCTAAAAATAGTAACAACTTATGAAATGAAAGTGTTTGAATCAGCCAGTTCATGACCTGTATAACCGTCTTTGTTTCCTTGACTGCCCCCTTTAGTATCCTCGGAATCGCCCATCGCCATCTCCTCCGCTGTATCATCAACGTCGTAGCCCTCATTGCCCTGTTCAGAGCGTTCGGAATCGCTCATCAACATCGGCTCAATGCAAGGGCGAGGAGAATCAAACTCCGTGGTCTCTAGCAGCTTTGCGAAAAGACCTATCCGGAAAATGATTTTTCCCGAAGCGGTGGAACTCATCTGTATACCCGTGATACGCATCCAGGAGCTGTCCATTTTCGCCTTGATTCCCCTCAGATGTTTAAGACAACCATGCTCAACGACGCCCGTGATCGTTTCGTCATAGTGAACCGTGATCTTGTTGTTGAAGACTTGAATCTCACATTCATGCCCAAGGTCAACGAAGAAATGCCCTTTGTCATTGAGATCATAGCTCATCACATTTATGGGAAGCAAGCCTTGAGGCAGACCAAATTTTGTCAGCATATCATAGACAGAAGGAGCTTCCGCCACTGCCCTGTCCTGATCGAGAGACGCAGCCGTTACGAAGCAAACCATCGAAAGGAGCGATACGAGAAGCGGCAAGAGGACATCCCGGCGGACGAATGAGATTCGAAACGGCCTCCGGAGGATGGACTCTTCAGACGGGTGTGCTGCCATGCTGAACAATCAACCAGCTCGAAGGCGAAAGCGCTCTATGTGGCGGTGGTCCCCACTGGTGATGATAAATACGAGCCAAGTCCAAACTCTTTTCTACTCTATTCCACCACCTTTTTTGCCTCCTTTGTTAGATGCTCAAAGAGATCACAGAGGAGATCTGAATCTGCAAAAAAGACAACAATTTTACCTTGTGAGGAGAGAGGTTGAGAAAAACAATAAATAAATAAATAAATAAATAAATAAATAAATAAATAAATAAATAAATAAATAAATAAATAATAGAGTGAATCTCAGTGCAACTTTCACACCCAAACAAAACTATACTTGTAGGTGCTAGCCGTGTCTGCTCTACCAGCACAAGTAGCACCACAGAGGAGGTTGTTTGTTATTGAAAAAAATAAAAAATAAAAAATGTCTCTGACATTTACCTTACCTCTCACAATCAAAGGCTTGCATGGTGCGCTCCCCCCCTCCCCCCTCCCCCCGCCCCCCTTCTCCGACCACCACCAGGGAGTAGGGTGGGACCAGCCGTGTGGTGCTGGATGGCTACTGCAAAGACCGAGCATCTTGCCAGTATCTGTGCCTCCCATCTACTTTCCCCACCCCTCATCAAGTAACGGTGGTGTCTAAGGCCAACACTCTGACACACACCACACACATAATATGCTATTATGCAATGCTGTCCCCTGCATTACCCTGCATTCAGGTAATTTGTGTTTTGAACGTCACC